AAAAAAAAAAAAAACAATCACAAAATCAAAAGCGAAAAGAGAAAGAAATACTTCTCTAGGCCCACTTGCGCCGGGTTTTTATGATTATTTTTTTTTTTTCTCACACGCTCTGCTTTTTCACTTCGGCCCCTTTTGGCTTCACGTGCTTTGTCACTTATCAACTCCCAGTTTCAGCGAAATCGGCACGCGCGCGAGTGCAAAACCATAACCAACCTATGGCAAATCAGTGGACTTCCTTGGTAACCTGCGATAACTTTCTATTCTAATTTTGAGTGACGACAAAAGCAGAGCAGCAATCCTCCATACCACAGCTGGACATGTCAGAAGTATGGAAGCCCATCTCCGTTTCATTTCGCTCTAAATTACCAGAATGACCTCTGCGGTTGGAGTTATTCAGTGGTGGTAGGGGATAGTGTTAGGGATGAGCAAAATCGAGCCGAAACCAAACAACAGCACCGAACCGAGCTATTCGGTAAGGTTCAGTGTGGTTTTTGGTAAGTTCGGTTATCGGTGCGGTTTGTGTTTTGAAAAACCACAAATATTTCGGTGCGGTTTGGTTTTTGTCCGAATAGTGCGGTTTTAACCGAACCGCACCGATTGTCATAAAATGTCATTTTTTTTAATAAAATGTCACTTATTTTTTATAATTTTACTTTTTTTTAAACTAATATTATGTGTTTTTTTATCCACCGTATACTGACTAATAATTTTTTTTTTACATCCAAGTCGAAAATACATAAAGCAACATCAAAAGCAGAAAAATAAAAAATACAAGGATCACAAAAATGTTCGATGTGGAACTAAAATCAAATCCTCATAAAAGGTCGTCCTGGTCGAGTGTCCTGGCATAGAGTCCAAAATGTCAAATCTAGTCAGGGGCAGGTGGTGGCGGTCGACCGAATCTGAAGGATGGGTACTCTAACCGGTCCATCCGAATGAGCGTCCGAAGCCGGAGGAGAATGTCCTCAGGAAGAAGGGTGCGTCTCTGGGGTAAAGATGCCCTCGTGCTAGCAAGGAAATCAGCGGGCCGATTCCCCTCCCGGAATATGTGTGAGACCTGGTAATGGATCGAGCGGAGGGTATCTCTGATACGCATATGGATCTGCCATGAGCCCTGGTGGCCAGATGTCAAAAGTGTGATGACAGCCGCAACATCCATCTCTATCCAGACATGAGAGGAGATCGAGGCGGCAATCTCAAAACCAATCTGGAGCGCCTGAATCTCTGCATCATAACTCGAGGAGGCCCGGAGTGGCACATGGAAGGCAGAGATGAGTGCCCCACCATGATCCCTAATCAGGCCCCCTCCTCCAGCAGCTCCGGTATGTCTGTCGAAAGCGCCATCAGTGTTTATCTTAACCCAAGGGGCCTTGGGTTTCAGCCAAACAACGGTCCTGGGTCGTGGATGCTGGACAGGTAAAGGAGGTGGTGGCCTCAAACGATGGGGCGGTGTACACCCTGTCCAGTCTCTCGTCGTGAGTCTACCCAGGGCGGTGAGGAGAGAGAGGTGTCTGTCAACCTGCAAAATAATGTGAGCACAAGAAAATATAATATCCCTATTCTTCGCATTATTCCTTTCTGTCCAGGTGGCCCATAGGATCAGACAAGGAATAAGGAAGCCCACGTGTCTAATGTGTGTGCGGTGTGAGAAAAAAACTCAGAAGCTCAAAAAAACTATTTGTAGTGGGTAGGGGTATATGAGTATATCTGGCATAGTGCTCTCACACTCTCCTCACAGTCTCACTCTCAAGGAAAAGATGAGTGAAAGTCTAGATCTCAAAGGTACCGGTCTCAGCACAACAATGGCAGTGGGAGGGGAAGGAAAACCCTCTCGCCTGCATCACAGTGTCAATGGGAATGCGCCGTAATAAGAGGCGCCACAAAAAGACGGAAATGATCGGGGTGAGAAGGTCGGTTCATATGGCCCCGAAGAGGCGGTTTGGCCGGTTGCCCAGCCTCACATCTCCCTAGACTGATGACGTAGAGAATGCACCCGAAGATGTAAGTCTCCATCTCATGCCATCCAAACCTCCCTCCAGAATGGGAATCTGTCGGATCTGGTCAATCTCTAGACTACTAAAACCCCCACCCTCACCAAAATATCCTCCATCTTATCTCTATCCCAAAACCCTCCCGTCCAAAGGTCCTTCACCTGCATGAAAGGCAGGTGAGTGACTGGCCTAGTACTCGAGAGAGGGGCCTCACCGAACCACCACTCATCCCAGAAGCTAACCTCCCCAGAGCCCAAGGTCCAAATAATGTGTTCCTGAGCACGCCTGCCAACAATGGTGAGCCGTCTCCACTGTCGACTATCCCGAGTGGTGGTTGTCACCCTGCAGGGATGGGCAGCACCACCAGGGCAATATTACCTCAGGAGGTATTGGGCCCAAAAGGACTTGCCCTCCCTAAGGCACCACCACATCCTGTAGGAAAACGCAGTAACCATATGAGAGAAACGCTGAATCTCGAGTCCACCCTCAGAGTGGGGACGACAAATGGAGTCCCAGTTCACCCAGTGGGTCTGCCGCCGACCTCGCGAGCCCTCGCCATAGCTCCAAAAATAGCGGGCTAAGATCTGATCTAACTCATGAATCGTAGACTGGTGGGGGTCAAGCACCGCGAGAAGGTGAAGAGGAAGGGCACAAAGAGTGCTCTTGATCAGAGCAAGTCGGCCTCCGAATGATACGTGTCTATGTGACCAGCCAGATATCCGGTCAATCATCCTCTGACGGATGTCAATGAAAAGGTCATGGGAAAGATGACCTTTGTACAAGGGGGCCCCAAGGTAAGGGACGGGTAAATCCCCACGAGCAAATCCAGTGCGCTCGTGAATCTGGTGAGCCCAATGGTCTGCAACGTGGTGGTCTATGATAAAGGTACTCTTACTAACACTGACTAGCTGGCTAGATGTCTCACTATAGTGGTCCAAAAGACTCATGAGAGCAACTAGCCCATTATCATTCGCACGAGTGAAAATGATAATGTCATCTGCGTAAGAAAGGTGGAAAACGGGAGGCCCACAGCCACGCGTGCTGTAGGTCATCCTCGTAAAATCACGAATGAAGCCGTCAAGGCAGCGAGAGAGGTAGTCAACCACCAGGACAAACAGGGAGTGGGATAAGGGGTCCCCTTGACGAAGGCCGCGGGTAGAAGGGAAAAAGGTCGTGGGGCTACCATTAATCAAAACAGAGAATGTGCAGTGCTCCACATACGCCTCCACAAAATTAATTCAACGGTTAGGGAATCCCATCCGAAACAGTACCTCTCTGAGAAACGACCACTCGACCCTATCATATGCTTTGGCCATGTCTAGCTTCAGCACGAGGTTCGGGGTTTATGTTCGATTCGCATGAGAGATGTCGTGTATCATCTCCTGAGCCAGAAGGATATTATCACTAATGACTCGATCCTTAATGAATCCACTCTGGTTCGGAGAGAGAAGGTGGGGGAGAAGAGGGGCGAGGCGACTGTTGAGGATTCTAGAAATGATCTTGTTAGGCACGTTGCATAAGTGATAGGTCTGTAGTCAGACCAAGAACTAGGTCCCGATATCTTCGGGATCAAAATGATGAAGGTTGCCGTGAAGGACTCTGGCATCTGGTGGCCAGAGAAAAAATCCCTCACAGCTTCCTCTATGTCAGTACCCATAATCTCCAGCAAGACTGGAAGAAGAGGGACGAAAAGCCATCCGGTCCGGAGACGCTGTTGGGATCTATCTCAAACACAGCCTCCCTGACTTCCTCCTTACTCGGGAGGTCACAGAGGTCAACAAGATCGACCGACTGCGGGATCGTCGGAAAGAGGGTCGGGTCGGGGTGCGTAAGCAAATCCCACTCAGAGGAAAAAATAGAGTGGAAGTAAGC